CATTCTCACTGCTATTTTGTCGATCATCAGGGTCTCCTATAAATTAATTCACATTTTTACAATTGCTTGAACACATCTTTCTAAGAATTCAATTTATAATTAGTTTGTATAAAAAACAGAAACTAACTATATATATATTCATTTCGTTATAATAATAGTAACAATAATTAGACGCATAGATACAGTAAACGTATATTTAAAATATGTGTTTGTTTAGTCAAACATTATTTATAATAACTTATGTCTTATTATTCGTTAAAATTTATGAATTTTTGACATTTAGTCTAACTTATAATTTCATGAAATATTTGTTAACAAGAATGAAAAAGTATTAAAAACTCAATTATAGACATGTTTACTAAAAAGTCTGTGGGCGGACTGGGATTGCAATGCGAGTGAGACGTGTGGTGTGTATACGAAATGGTTTGTGAAGTGACTCTTAACTCTAGAAACTAACTTCTACTCCAACTCCACATAATCATCACATTTGCCCCGTATTTTGATATATTTTTATTCAGTGCTCCACTGTTTCGACTCACAAATGATGAGTGAATTGTGAAGTGACTCTTAACTCTAGAAACTAACTTCTACTCCAACTCCACATAATCATCACATTTGCCCCGTATTTTGATATATTTTTATTCAGTGCTCCACTGTTTCGACTCACATTACTACTCACTTTCTCCTTTATCAACGCTCTGAGTGTGTTTTTGAAACCTAAGCCACGGTTTGAAAACGGTTTTTGATACGAGAGCAGAGCGTTTACTAATAAAAGATGAGGTAATATAAGCGAGAGTATTTGAGTGCAGCATAAGAAGAGTTGAAACAAAATATTTTTTTAAACAATTCTCTCCAAACAGAAGTCATTTTTTGATGGCTCTCTATATGACCGAAAAAGTGGTTATTTATTTATAATAAGAGTTGTAGAGTTGTGCCACACATATGATACGATGTGCCTTTAAATTGCCTTTAAATATTTGGTGAACAAAATGCCGTCTCAGTCCTCGAGACTGTCATACTTGGCGACAACCCCTGGGACTACCTTCGGGAGGGATCAGATTTGGCTCAATCGAGACTATGGGTCCGAAAAGGTATGGGTCCTCAACCCCATGCATATCGTGTCATTGAGTTCCGAAACGAAGTCCAAGTTTGTCAAAGTTATCGAAAGCTTCAAACAGTTCAGTGAAAAATGGTTTTCACACGTCTTGTTGTTAATATTTCTCATACTTTACGGCTTTCTCGGCGCCTATGTCTTTGTGACCCTCGAGGGACCCAACGAAAGCAATATTAAGGTATGCCTACAATGACAGACATGTCAGTCATGTTCACCAAATGAATACTCAAATTGTGTTTTGATTGAAAGACATCAGTGAGTAATATGAGAGAGAATATTATCCGTGAGTTGTGGTGGAGTTCCCAGAAGTTCACAAAGGGATGGTGGGATAAGTTGGCCAAAATACGGATGAAGGAGTTTGAACGACAACTACATGAGGCCTGTATTGCCGATCAAACCACAGACTCCGAGAAAAGTAATTCATTTGTTATTTAAATTTTGAGTTTATCTATTGTTTTTTGGCACTCAATAAATGAGAGCTCATAAGTGCCTCACTTTTATGTTATATCAGAATAAGTCGTCTCAAAGAACTCATTATTATTATACAGTAGATGTTTGCTATGAATTCAATACTCCATCAAAACTCATTGCATTTTAGGTTATAGTTTCCGATTGGTCTCTAAATATATTCTTTGAATAATTCTGTTGTCAAATAAGTGTTGGACTATTTGTTGAGTTATGGATTGGAGTTATAATTTCCCAGAATAAATAAATAAACGACTGATTAGTTTGTAATAATTTATCTCATTTTTGACAGATATTGCATTAAAACATATAATTTTGTCAAAACTCCTTAATATAAGAAAATGTAATAAAGAGAGAGATTTTAAAGTGTGAAACTTAGTATAAGTCTTATATAATATTTTGTAACCTTAATTTTCTACGAAATGTAGAAATCTAAAAATAGTGCAGGCAACAAATTATCTCTTTTTGTCGCATTTCTCAATCGACAACTTTGACACCAAGACCCGGGTTAGTTCTCTCCTCACATATGCTTTAAAATACTCT